GCTTCCCTCTGTGCCCAAGGATCAGAACAACAAGATTGCTCGATTCTTGGAAGGTCAGGGCCAGAAGGAAATGGCGCTCAAGGTTGCCACCGATCCCGAACACCGATTCGATCTCGCCTTGTCCCTTGGAGATCTGCAACAGGCTGTTACAATTGCTCGTGAGCAGGACACAGAGCATAAGTGGAAGACTGTCGGTGATGCTGCTCTCACAAACTGGGATGTCAAGCTCGCGCAGGAATGCTTCGTCAAGGCCAAGGACCTTGGTTCCCTTCTCCTCCTCTACAGCGCAACTTCGGATGCCGCTGGCCTCCGGGAACTCGCTTCCCTGGCCGAGAACGCCACCGCAAACAATGTAGCCTTCTCTGCGCTCTGGCAAATCGGCGATGTCCAGGCGTGCATCGACCTGCTCGTCAAGACCAACCGCCTCGCCGAGGCTGTTCTCTTCTCACAAACGTACAAGCCAAGCGCTACCGCTGGCCTTGTCAAGCAATGGAAGGAGTCCCTGGAGAAGGAGAACAAGACCAAGGTCGCTAGACTTCTTGGCGCACCACCTCAGGACGGTGAGGGCGATGCAGAGATGTTCCCCGAATGGGATGAGTACCTGCGGTTGGAGAAAGAAGGCGGAACGGTGGAGGACCTTTTGATCCAAGAAGACGAAGTAGAGGCGGATGATGCCGATGAGGAGATTGCAGCCGATGCTGAAGAAGACGACGAGGAAGATGACGAAGACGAGGAAGAGAGCGAGGAAAGTGAGGAGGAGAAGTAGGCGTCTGCATCAAGCGTTGTTTTGCTTGGCGGATCCGTTGTAGCTGCAGTTTGATTTTGGATGTGTGGCTGCTCCACGTAGCGTAGGTACGGTAACGGAAAACGATACGATGATATAGATGTCTCAAGGACATGGTGCTCAAAGTTGTGATTCGATATATTGTAGCATGATGTGACGTTGTATCACGTCCCTTCCTTAAATCTATGCCTAGCCCACATAAACGCCACCCATATGTACGTTGGTCTTGTCTTCGTGATATTCCAACATATACAAACATTTTACAGGGCCATACTCATATTCAATGGCAGCGTTGTCATTACTGTACGACAGCCTCGTTGGTCGCGCCCTGGTATGCCGAGTCGCGGAATCTCTCCTCACCACTAGCTGTGCTGTCGCTGCTGCTCGCTTCCTCCGACTCTTCGGAAGTAGTGTGAACTCGACTTCGTACGCGCGCATTCATCTCCTCACGTGTATCGTCCACCGTCTCCATCTCGCGCAGCCCCTTTCCCCGGCCGAAGAAGTCTTCTGTCCTCAGTCCACGGACATCGCCCTGTGCCATACCTTTGCTGCTCCTCAGCGTACCGTCTGCCTTCTTTCTCCTGATGTACTCCCGCACTGGCCCCATGGCCGCATCCCTACACGCCTCCTTGATGTCCGAACCGCTCATACCAGCCGAGACGCGGACTAGGTAGTTTAGATCAAAGTTCTGGTGGTCGATTTTGGTGCCGCGGAGGATCAAGGAGAAGATGTTGTGACGCTGTGTGGCTGAAGGGAGTGCGACGGGAAACTTCTTGGGCATGCGGCGGAGAATGGCTTCGTCAATGTCTTGGATGCGGTTCGTGGCGCCGAGGATGCATATTCGCTGGGGGGTCGATGTACCGGAGGAGGTGCTGGATGCGAGGCCGTCCCAATGGGTCATAAATCTAGGAATTGTCAGTCCTACTTTCGTCGCAAGTGGAATGGGATGGTATTGAGACGTACTCAGCTTTCACCATTCCGCTGGCCTCATGTTCTCCGCTTCTTCTCTGTCCCAAGACTGCGTCAATCTCGTCGATGAAGACGATACTTGGTTGTAGCTTCCTCGCCAGACTGAAGACGGCGTTGACGAGCTTGTTGCTGTCGCCGTACCATTTCTCCGTCAACGTCGAGATGTGTAGGTTGATGAAGCAGGCGCCGGATTCGTGCGCGAGGGCTTTTGCGAGCATAGTCTTTCCGCAGCCGGGAGGGCCATAGAGGAGGACACCGCTGGGTGCGCTGAGGAGCGAGGAAGAGTGGGAATAGAGATGGGGCATGGTCAGAGGGTAGATGACGGATTCTTTGAGCTCCTCAATAATAGAGTCGAGGCCACCAATGTCTGGAATGTGTCAGCGTTGCACTGCGATCAGGCTTCCAGTAGGCCAATTCGCGCGCACTCATGCGCATAATTCCACAGCCCACGGCTCAAGCCCGAACGAGGTTGTGACGTACCCTCGAAGCTCACGGGAATCTCCTCGGGCGCAACTACCTCCATGGCAATCGTCTGCTCGTAGGTATTCAAATTGAGATCCTGTATCCTGGGCCGTCTGTGCCTCGATTCTGTGTCTTCCTCATCTTCACTGTCGTATTCGCCGTAGCTTTTCCGCCGTTTGCTTGTAAGGATGGCGTCGAGTTTACGTGTGGCGGCTGAGGCTTTGGCGCGGGCTTCTTCTTTTTGTTGAGCTTCCGGATCGAGGCGTGTGAGGAGGTTGCGAATTACGAAGTAGGCTATTAGTGGCTACGGGGATATGAGCATGTAGTCGGAAATTCAGTGAGGGGCACAGCGGGTGTGGGGAGACTGTGGCGCGTTCGTAGAATAGACGTACTGCTGCAGCTGCCATGAGGATGTCTGGGAGATAGCCCGTAAGGCTGCTCTTCTTATTTGCGCTCATGCTCGCTTGGCTGCACTTTCACCAGTGCGCTCGTCTCTGGAAATGGCGGGGGCTTGTGCTCAAAGAGCGAATGTTGGTTCGGGAGGTTGATAGAGCGTGCGGTGTCGATACCAAAAGTAGGGACCGATGCAGGAACCGGGCCGCGGCTGCGTCGACCTCAAGCCCGGCGTCATACGAGCTCCGCTCCGCATCCTTGGATCGCATCACATCGCATGCCTTCAACTTCACCTTTCACTCGCACGCATAGTCACAATGGCCGCCGCATACAAGCCCACTGAAGCCATCGCGCTCATTCGACCAACATTCGTCTTACCGCGCATCCGTGCCTCAAATCGCAGAGCGCATATCGGGCGCATCGCCTTCTCCACCACCCACCATGCACAAGCCACGCATACGTCGACGAGCAGTCCGACGCCAAAACCGCAAAGAAAGTCGATTTCTTTGACCGGTGACACCGGCCAAGTCCGATGGTCTGATCTGTCACCGGGCGAAAAGGCAGTGCGGACCACCCAGCAGAGCTTCAACTTTGTAGTGGTCCTGGTGGGCATAGTAGCAACTGTACAGCTTCCCCTCACCGAGTCCACTTTTGGAAGCGCAAGGCTAACCACTCTACCAGGGCGGCGTGGGCTACTTCCTGTTCTCCGATGTCTTCAGTCCCTCCTCCAAGACTGCCTACTTCAACCGCGCAACAACACTTATACGTCAGGACCCCCGTTGTCAAAAACTACTGGGTCCAGGCGCCGAAATTGCAGCTTTTGGTGAAGGCTCTTGGTCGCGATGGGCGCGCAATCGCTACCTCAGCAGTACCGAAGAGACTGACAAGTGGGGCACTGAGCATCTGCGCTTCAGATTCTTTGTCGAGGGGCCGTTGGGACAGGGCGTGGTACATGTACATTTGACCAAGAGACCAAGTCAAAATGACTACGACTACGAGACGCTTGCTGTGGATGTAAAGGGTCATCAGAGGATTGATCTGATTTCCGAGAACAAGAAGGACAAGGTTGCGCCCAAGATTTTTGGCGCGCGGTGGTGGTGAAGACAAATCTCACAGCTCTTCGCAATGGGCTCTGGTGGTCGAGTAGCCATACATCCCCCCAATCAAACCTTTAAATTCTCGCTGCTGAACAGGCAGTTCGTGTCAGCCAACATGCAATTTGTTTTTCCATCCTCAAACGGGCCTTCCCGATGCGCACAGATATGAGAACAGAGCAGGGGCAAGGTAGAAACCTGTGTGCTAGCGCACCACGGACTACACACGACTCTCTTCCCCTGCCCGGGCAAACTTGGTCAGCAAGATTGGGCCAAACCACTGCATCTTGTTTGTGCTTGCTCTAATTGTTTTGCTTCTAGATCCATCAAAATACGTCACACGAGGCTGACAAAAACCATGTGACCCCTCCAGCCTCAGCCATCAAATCCAACCTGACCACGTTCACATATGCACGCTACGACCTTGTGCATCGCCCCCCTAAACCCTGACCCAGAAGCATCGTCTCTTGAGCCCAAACATCAACCACAATGCCCGTGTCCATATCCCCAGCCCGGCCCAAAGATGCAGTCGACATCGCCGCCCTACATGTCCAAGCGTTCAGCTCCAACGCCCTCATGCGAGCCATTTACCCCACCCCTGCTATATGGGCAGCACTTCAGGGCTGCGTCGAAGAAAAAATCTTAGCTGACATGAAGGAGCCCAAAATTACAGTCCTAGTCGCCAAACACACGGACGAGGCTGAAGTGAGGGAAGAGCAAGGTAAGACTGTAGGCTATGCCGTGTGGTGCCATCCGATCAAGGCCGAAGAGCAGGACTGGAAACTACCAACTTGGAAGTTGCCGGAGGGCACTGATTGGAATGTGTTGAAGCCTTGGTTAGCGGCCGCTGGAAAGACTGTGGAGGAAGTCATTGGGCATACGCCGCATTATGGTAGGTGGTGTTACGTGCTTCTGCATGACCCGAGATGCGGACTAATTGGAGGTCTAGATCTTATGTGGCTCGCTGTATCACCTGATTATTCTCGAATGGGTATTGGTACCTTGCTACTGCGTTGGGGCATGGACTTGTGCGAGAAGGAAGGGGTGCCTGTGTACTTGGACAGTACCGTTGAAGCTGCGCAGACGTTTTATCAGAAAGCGGGCTTCATAGAGAAGGGTAGAATCAGGTTGGTAGTTAATGGGGACATGTACGAGGAGGTCGCTTTTGTGTACGAGCCCAAGCGATAGATGATACCAGGAATGATAGTCGCCGAATTGCTATGAAGATGAATGGTCCTACCCGCTTGTTTCCAGCCTACGTCCAGGTCTCGTGTGCTCAGGCCGCATTTCCAGACCGTTCAAAATGAGTGACCCAGTTCCCTTCTCGCAAGCATACTCACGATCTCTTTGGTTAGCATCGTCGTCATGGCCAGGTCAGGATCATGATCTGGATTGACCTCTGCGATGGACAGTCCAACGACATTGGTGCTAGCCATGACTACTGTCAGGGCTTGCATCATCGTCTGAAATGCCACACCTGTAAAGTTTGGGACATTTGCCAGCGGGAATTCGCCTGGATCAATGGAGTCAATATCAAGATGGATCCAGATAGCCTCAACTTTGTTCTGCTCAAGGTGCTCCAATGCTTCGTTTGCACGTCCTTCCGGATGGTTTGCCACCGCTTCTGACGAGATGACTTTGAAGTGCTCGTCGTTCAAATATGCTAGGTGCTTCGGCTTGTTCCCCGGGTGGGGAAGGTTTGTGCCAAAGAAAACTGTGTTGGTACTATCGCAGAGCTTCTCACGAGCGAGTACAGGGTCTCGTGTGCCTTCCGACTCATCACTAATTGCCCCGGGCCGCGCCATGAGCTGCGTCATCGTCTGCAGATGAAGTGTACGAAGTCAGTGTTTGGCTCACGTTCCTCTTGCGTCTGAAGTTTGCTCACCATGCTTGCAAAGTAGCCCTTCCAATCGTCGTCCAAAGGTGAGTGCAGATCAGTGTCCGCGTCGATATAGATGAGACCAATAGTAGAGTCTTGGTACTCTTGCTTGACAGAGGAAAGAATGGCTGGCAGCATGCAGCACTCGCCCCCAAGAACTAGCTGGAATGCTCTGGGCTCCGCCTGGAAGTTTACCGACATCTTCTTTCGCACTCTGCGAAGAAGCTCCAGATTACCCGTCCTGTTGCGGATATTGCCAGGTACGAAGGGACTAGGCTTGTAGGTCACCTCTCCGTCGAGCACGTCCGGTCTCCGAGCCGGGCCATCGCTGTCGGGGAATTGACTTATGTCGATGTCAATAACGTTTACGCCCGCTTCGACCAGTCTGCGGTAGATGTCGACCGTTTTGAAAGCCGCAGCCGCCCTGGACTTCCCTGGTATGATGGAACCGCAGTCGGCAGCCACGTACGTTACGCACGTCTTTCGCGACTTGTCCATTGTCGTGGTTTATTGATGCGACTGGGATCGAAAAAGCGTGTTTGGAGTGTTTAGATAAATGCCATGACTGGTCTTCACTGTAGGCTGGGAAGGATGAATCTACACTGACATGTTGCTCGTAGGGCGTGCATGCTGGAGTCTGACTACTGTGGCAGCGGCATGACCGCAACCAGCTCACCTCTTCTCACATTCCATTGTGAGTTGATTCGTTTCTTCAGTCAATGTGTCATTTAGGCCTTGGCGTAAGCTGGCGTGAGTCTGCTTCCAATGATGCCTTGCGACGCTGGTGCCACCTTGCAAAGGCGCGGTGACTGTATGCTACCAGCAAGCTTCTTACGTCGCCCCAGCAGGAGAGCGAGTGACGATGTGAATGTATCCCTGGAAGGTACAAAGGAAGTGTCATGGATGGTCGCGGCTGATGAACCCGACACGCGTCATGGTGGGAACTTGATGAGAGACAGCGGGTACTTGGTTGTGAAGATTGCAAACGAGGAGTATGCCAGCACATGAAGGTATATACCGTGCAGTGCTGCTAGCTCAGACATGGGCTGAATCCAATCAAACGATGTCGCATTCGCACAACCTCGCATCCGTCAAACGACGATAAATTTTCAGCCACCATGACTCGACGCAGCACCAAAGAACAGAGGAATTGAGTGCACGCTTATGCGCACGCCCCATGGGGATTGACATGTTGAGTCGGGGATGCGCGCCATGCTTTAGCAGCTGATGCAAAGATCCATATTTCAAAGATGGCACGGATAGAGCGGGCGTGGTCTAGTCACGCAACGGACCAATGGCAGCGATTCCTTGACACATTCGCACCTCGCGCACGTTGGCGTTGCATCATGGCTCACACAGTCACGACGCGTTTGGGCTCCAGTTTGCAACTTTGCTTCCCATTTCGGCCACCCCTTTGATCGCTTCTACCCGCCGGCCCTATGTTTCGGATCCACAGCCAGGTCGCGACCGAACGCAAATGTATTTTGGGTTCCGGTCCGACGACCATTACGCACAGCAAAGTGCCGGACCTTCGTAGCCGGAGTACTCAAAGTCTCATGGCGCCTCCAACGTGGCGGTCGCCCTCATCTCTTCTTCCTCTTCTTTTTCAATAAGCACAGCATCCGCACAGCGCTCCCCTCTCCTACGCAGCACCCGCCGCAATGGAGCCCTCCACCACCAACTCGTCGGAGCACACGCACGTCGACTCGCACGAGATGCAGCAGATGCCGCCCACGTACCCCTCGCCCTCGATGCAGCCCGAGCAAGCAACGGGCAAGACGCGGGTCAGGTTCAACAGCTCTGCCAACGTCGAAGTCCCTGCGCCCCTAGAACACGTCCAGAGCTACACCCGCATCAGCGAATCCGGGTCGAATGAAATCACCACCAACGAGCACACCACCGACGCCGAAGAGCTCTGGAATGCATACCACACCGGCCAACAAAGCCACAACGCGCCACCGGTGAGCGAAGTGGATCCCGAGGGCGCCTACACTGTCACCGGCAACACCAACGGCGGCATCTTCTACCAGCTCCTGCAAGCCTACAAGCAACCGGTGCGCGGTTATACCGATACATCCTCCGAAGCCAGCGAGACATCACCCACACAGAGGTCGCGACCTGGGTCTTCTTCAGGACCCAGCACCCCATCGAAGAAGAAATGGTACAACGCAAACAAGCCAATGCAGTCAACAGAGACGCTGGCGACTCTCGTTGGCGCTTCAGCCAAGCTGGCAAACCCCAAGGATGACAAGAAAGATGCCGCTATGCGCCCGCGCCATCACAAGCGCAGCAGCAGTGGAGGAATCATTGCCAAGGTGTTGAAGCCAAAGGAAGACCAGGATGCCAAGATCAAGATACACGTTGCAAACATCCTCAAGCGACAGCAGTACATCATCCGCATGTGCCGCGCTCTCATGCTCTTTGGCGCACCCACACATCGCCTCGAAGAGTACCTTGCCACCACGGCTAAGGTCCTTGAGATCAACTCCCAATTCCTCTACATCCCCGGGTGTATGATCATCTCTTTCGATGACAGCATGACCCACACCGCTGAAGTCAAGATCGTTCGCACCGATCAAGGCGTCAACCTCGGCAAGCTGAAGGACACTCACGACATCTACAAGGAGGTTTTGCACGACGTCATCAGCTTGGACGAGGCTCTTGCCCGCTTGGACGAGGTCATCAATGCAAAGGATCGCCATCCACGTTGGCTGACTGTCCTCATGTACGGTCTTGCCAGTGCGGCAGTATCTTGCTTCTTCAAGGCCCGCCCCATCGACATGCCCGTCATCTTCGTACTCGGCATTGTCCTCGGGCTGCTCCAGCTTGTCATCGCTCCGCTGTCCAAGACATACAGTACTGTCTTCGAAATCACTGCGACTATCCTCATGAGCTTCCTTGCGCGGGCGTTTGGTAGCATCAACAACGGGAACCTCTTCTGTTTCTCGGCCATTGCACAGAGCGCCATCGCTCTCATCCTTCCCGGATGGTTGGTGCTCAGCTCGGCCCTGGAGCTCCAGTCTCGTGCTATCGTACCGGGATCTATCCGCCTTGTCTTCGCCATCATCTACTCGCTCTTTCTCGGATACGGCATTACTGTCGGCACAGCTATATACGGTGCGATAGACTCCAACGCCACCAATTCGACCCAGTGCCAGGATCCAATGAACCCATACTGGAACTTCCTCATGGTCCCACTCTACGTCTTCTTCACGACCTTCACGGTACAGGCCAAGTACAAGCAGATGCCGGCTATGATAACCATCGCGTTTGCTGGTTACATTGTCAACTTCTACGCTGGCTTGAAGTTTTCGTCGTCTGCCCCCATCGCCTACACATTTGGCGCCTTCACTATCGGCGTGTTGGCAAACTTGTACAGCCGATTACGTCATGGAGTTGCAGCTGCCGTCCTCCTACCCGCAGTATACGTCCAAGTTCCGGGCTCTCTTGCGTCGAGTGGCAGTATCAACTCTGCCCTACGAACAGCATCAGCTCTGATCAAGGGCGCAGAGACATCGACCGACGTCAGCAATCCTTCATCTCGCTACGAAAACATTACTGACGTAGCGCAGACCACCACCGACAGCCTCAATGCCATCGTCTTCAATGTCGCTGCGTCCATGATCCAGATTGCTATCGGCATCACTGTCGGGTTGTTCATGGCTGCCCTTCTGGTCTACCCCATGGGCAAACGACGCAGCGGTCTTTGGACACTCTAAAGTATACATTCTAATATTTTCTGTCATGCATAGCGATATGGCGTTACAGCGACCCAAAATGGGAGGAGTTTGGGACATCTACCTGCTAATGATCTATAGTACTCGAACACCAAGATGTTCAACTTCAATGACCCACATGGAGATGAGTGGTGTCGAGGTGAAATGTGAAGGTAAGCCCCATTGCAACACGAGCGACTCTATCCGAAGCAGTTGTCGACTCGCCTTGCGACAACCAGTTCCAAGCAGCAAGCCGTTGCGACCACTCCACATTGGTTTCCATGCGACATCCGGACCACGCAGCCCTCGCCGGATTTGGACTTCCACAGCGACCAACCTACGCAGCATTGGCCCTAGCAAAACATCCCAAAGAACACCATCATCCGCCTGGTTCCACTGCAACCCATCGCCGGATTTAGACCTTGCGCCCAAGCCTCCCATCGGTCAACTTCTGCTCCATGCACCTACTCCCTTTCACGGCACACGATATCTCACCTATACCTCCGCGCCCACTCGTCCTGTTGTGATGCTTCGCTTATGATTGCGAGGCTCGCACAGGTTGATGGCACCATGCACTGCGTAAACGCCCTGATGTTGATACCCCATCCATAGCCATCTTTTGCTAACCGAAGCTATTTCGTGCAACGTGTCGTGACGTGTCCTATCCCTTCTTATGTGTTTTAGGAGGAACAGTATATACAACGGAAGAACTGTTCCAAGAGCAAAGCGTTTAGATATAGCATCTAGATATGAAAATATACCCTTGTTTTCCAAGACCTTGCTTTCCACACCTGAACTATACTTGAATCTTCTGAAACAGCAACATGCTCGTCGTTGCATGCTAAGATGAATGTCAAGCGTGGGCACGAAGTCACAAGCTGTCAGTCAGACTCTTGCTAGTTGTTGAGGAGTACAAAGATGAATGAAGAGTGGGAAGGTGTATATCACATAAGCCAGTGTATCTAGCGGCGCCTCATAGCAGTGACGTAGCGTGAAGGTCTGCACTCAGTGACATCACCTCCGATCAGGAACAGAGGAGGTATTAGGTAGGTGTACAAGCTTTGTAGTAATCCAGCGATCACGGCGACTTCTTTAATCGGAAGCACTGCTAGCGAAGCATCACCAAGCTTCTCATACCAACACTTCGTATCTGCAGCCCTCCATCAAATCGCAATGGAGCCTCGGTGCACAGACTTCCCCCAAGACTTGCGCAACGTCGAAGCTGAGACACAGTCACCTTCTAGAAGACCCGTGGAAGACGCACTGACACATGTAAGACCATGTCCGTTGAGCTTTGGAATGGGAACGGTCTTGGATCGGGTCCGAAGCGTACAGGCTGTGATTTGATTGGTGCTGGACGGCTTACGCGATACGGGTATGCAGTCAGCACTGTGGCAGTGGTGTCATCGGTGGTAGTTCGGACCCGCTTTGACTTAAGACTCTAGGTATCAAGATGGATAATAAGAGGAGTCGTTGGCATGCGTAATGTCGCATAGAGCTAAGCATTTGCTTTTGCTTGTGTTGAGTAAAGTGCACCTCTGACAACCGACCCTTATCGAACGACAAGACGGAGCGTATGCATGTATCCAGACTGTTGCAGGTAATAACGTACATGATGCTATTGGTACATTATCAAAAGCTCTTTCTAGATGATAGATGGGCAGATGTGCTGCAGGCGGCGATCATCTGTCTTCCCCGTCACTTGTTGAGCACTGTATGATATGGCCAAACATCGTACGATAGATCTAAACGGTGGGGCCTGGTAAGGCAGCGGTCCTAAAA